GCAGGAGTCCGTGAACATGCACGTGCACCGGCGCATCGGCTGGCAATCCGGCCGCGAGGAGAATAGATTCACGAGCCATGACATGCTCAGTCTGCACAGCAAAGATGCACTCGTCAATACGCCTACAGTCGACCAAGACGATCACCCCACTTATCAGCCATCGGGGAACGGCAACAAACAGAGCCTGTGCCGCAAGCGGTTGCGGGGAGACCGGAACGAGGTCAGGGAAAGAATGCCTTTGCTCCGGAAGGCGAGCCATCTGCAAGGCGGCACTGAACGAGCCCACAGAAATAGGCAGGACAACCTCCAAGGGAACAAGTTCCGGAAGAATGTCCGGGACATACACAAGCGCCTGGATTTTAGCAACTGAGGAGGCAGGAGAAGGTATGACAAACACCTCAGCATGGAGATGGTCAACTCCGGCTACCTCAGGCCTAGGTGGCGAGGAGCTTTCCGCTAGAAAACTTGCATCCGAGCAGGGCGGACTGATTTCAGGTGAAGCCTCATCAAAGCTATCGGTCTCGTCCGGCTCGGAAGAAGGGGCAAGCTCCGCAAAGAAGAGGAGGGTAGAGTTGCCCTCAAAGTGGACATCCTCTCCTTGACGGCTTCCACCAGAGACACCGACGCGCATGGCCTGTGGGAGAACCAGTCCCAAGTCAGCAACAAGGGTAGGAACATGCAGAACTGGCTGCGTGAGGCACATGGTCCGGGGTCGGTGACCAAGAGGTCGAAGATCCAACAAGACAAAGAGGTCTCTAGCTGCAGTGCGGGGTACACCGGTCACTGAAGGCGAAGGAACATCCTTAACCGCGACCAGGAAGGTGCACAGATCGCCATGTACGTCCAAGTCACCGATAGGGAAGCTGCACATGACAGTCGCCTCAGGAGTCAGGCGCAGACGCTCTGCAATGTAGTGCACAATGTTCCGACCATAGTGGTGGTAATCCCTAAAAGTGTAACGCTGGTCGAGGTGGTGCACACAAGTGGCCTCAGCAACCTCAGGCGCAAAGAAGTGATGCATAGGCCCCCAGACCGCAGAAGGAAGGAAGAGTGCTTCGATCCGATGTCTCGCAATGAGGGCAGTGGGGTCGAAGAGCACAGTGATGACGTCACCGTCAGTGAGGGGGATTGTGTCACACTGAGACCAGGAGCCGACTGTGCATCCAACAAAGATCTGGATCGGCCGATCATCATGCCATGTCAAAGGCAGCAAGAAAGCCGCAAGGGCTTGTGCAGAGATAGCCCGTGGCAAGGTGGTGGCAAAATACCGACCCCCGGCTCTAGTGAGGTCACAAACTACCGCAGCGAAACCGACATCTCCAGATTGCCTAATGACACTGGGGTACCGAATGAAAGACGCGTACCCAGAAAATCGCTGTGGGGACAGAGCAGCGATAGCATCATAAAGGCCAGCAGGCACACCAGGGGCCTCAGCGACCAACAGGTCCGAAACAGCCCTGACGGTTCTTTCGCGAGGCTGCACAGCGAGGGCCAACGGCTTAAAATGAGGAGTGAAAAGGTATACGCCGAGCCACTCCCCATCAGGGGTATCCGGAGCAGGTGGCTCAGGCCATGGTATCGGAGCCGTAGAGATACGCAGACAGCGCCCTTTATCAGCAACCTCGAGGGGGCTGCGAGCCTCGCAAGTGCCAGCGAAGGTGGTGAGCTCATCCGGAGAGATATCATGGGGCCGCGGCCCGCCAACGTCCCTCCCGGGAGGGTCATCCGGTCTGGGAGGCCGTGCCATAGCCCACACAGAGGTGGGTGCCAAAAACCACACAGGGTTTAAAATAGGAGATGCATAGACGGGCTGCGGGATCGCAGGGAGTGACAGCCACCAAGCCACAGAACACAGCGAGAAGCGCCATGGGCGGACAAAGGTGGCACGTGCACCTCCACGGCGAACACGCTGAGGCGACCAATTCAGAATGCACCGAGACGGCGTGCCAAGGCTCCACACAGATAGCAATTCAAGGCGTCCCTCGCAGAAGGGAAAGCAACACAGAACACCCAGTGGCGAAGACCAGGCACGCAGCGGACGCAAAACCATCGCAAAGAGCAACAGTAGTAAGGCCGCTTGCAGTGTGTAGAAGAAAGGAACAACCATGAAGGCGAGGACGCCAAGCCAGCGATAAACGCAAGCGAGAGGGATAAACCCAAACAGAAAACCACGTTCAGGGCAGCGCTCCGGTAGACACCCCAGAGCCACCGATGTGTCTTTTAGGCACTCGGAGCGCGCAGCCGAAAAAGCAGAACGATCACAGTGACGACCGAGTTCCGGTAAACACCCCAGAGCCGCCGATGTGTTTTTTAGGCACTCGGAACGGTCAGACACCAAAAGGAAGCGGATGCCGCCAGTCAGGGAGACAAACCGATAGGGTAACTCAAGGAAGGGCACGGCCGCACAGTAAGGACCAGTAGCGCCGTCAAGGACGGAGAAAGAAAACCAACCTTGGAGGGAGCCGGCAGCCACGCCTGAAGGGGAAAGGCAAAAACCAGTGAAAGGGGCCAAAGCAAAGGGGGAGATGCAATCGGCCGAAGGACCGCAAGGCAGAGAGAAGGCCAGGCAAAGTCCAGGAACGCCCGCCTTCTGCGAGGAGGGAGGCGTGTAGATAACAGGGAGAAAGCCAGGCAGGTAGGGTTGCCAAAATGTGTCCGAAAATGGGCAAGGATGAGGAAGCCCCAAGCCAGGAGCAAATCCAGAGGCCAAGCCCAAAAAGATGCAATCAAAGCCACAGCGGAAGGGGAAACAAAACCCGCAGAGGCAAAGGCACCAGGACCGACATCTACCTACTCCCTGTACAGGTGAGAAACCTAAGGCAGAGAGCACATAGTGACAACATGTGTCCAGCCGACTAGGCATAGCGATGCCCTGACCAACCAAAGCGTCAGGGCAAGGCAAACCGTTGGGATGGATAGATGCAGTCACCCTGCACTCCTGCCTCAGTCGTAAAGACGCAAGGGCATTGCTCATCCATCCAAGGCTCCAAAGCCAGGGCTCAGACCGGGGTCTAAATCGCTGTCGTCGTCCTCCAGCAAGGGCCCAAGTGCAGCCGTCGAGGATTCGGCTGGAGCCGGTCCAGCAGGCAGGGAGGTATGCGGCATAGGTCTGCCGAAAGGCTGCAGGGCCTGCCGTTTCGCATCGAGCTTGGATTGCATGTCGGGGCCCCGGAGGGGCTCCGTACTCACTGCTGTCTTGGAGGCCTCTTTGATGCCCTTGCGCACAGCCGGGGTCTTGGGAACCTGCCCAGCATTCAGGGGACTCAGCCCTGGAGGTGTTGCCGCAGCTGCCGCGGCTGGAGCCCCATATGGGTCGCCACCGACCGACTCCAGAAGAGAGGAGTCCACATCCATAGCTCTTACCGGCGACATAGGCGGGGCACCTGTACCGCGGTGAGGTGTCCTCGCAGGAGCGGCAGCGATGGCCCGCTGCAGCACCTGCTGGAAAGCCACATCGTCCTCTCTGGACCAGTCGGCGAACACGTCGTCGACCGGCTGGAGGCCAGCATCCGACTCCGATGCCGCTGAAGTGTCCGCGACCGTCTGGAAGTCGATGGCCGCTCGGATTGCAGCCCTTGCTGCATCCTGAGCCTGGATGGCCTCCTCCAGTTCCTTCTCCTGCCTCTGCTGCTCCTTGAAGAACTTGGCACGTTCCTTCCGGAAATTGTCTTTTGCCTGGGCAACAAATAGTGCCCATTTGTCCTTGGCCGCCTTCAGGGCACGGCGGAGCTTGGAGACCTTCTGCTCGGATCGTCTGGCGTGGTTGACCGCGAACTGCACTGTAGGGACCATTGCCCCAGCTGCATCCTCGTCGTCGACAACAACATGTGCCGGCTGTGCCCGGCTCTTCGGCAGGGCGACAGACTCGTACGAGGGGAAGGTGAGGGTCTGGCGACCAGCATCCTCGCCACGCCATGGGGCACCTTGTCCCCTCATCTACGGCGACCAGGCTCCACGCCAGTATCGGGAGTCCTGCTGCGAGGACTGCTGTTCTCCTCGCCATCCTGAGGGCTTTTTTGCACCTCTGCCCATGCCAGGGCCACGATCAAGCAGCGTACTTCGAAGACGGCTATCCGCAGAGTGGTGGTGGGCCAGACGGAAGCGCTGTTGCCAAGAGAGCGTCCAGCCACAGCGGAGTGCTCGTCGAGCACGCGACCTGGCGGCTCGTTTGCGGCGGTGCCACCCCGGGGAGCCTTTATGCGGAATTGCGGCACAGGCTCGACCCGACAAATAAAAAAGACGCACCTAATGGTGCTGGGGCTACCAAGTGTTCCGGCCCTGTGCCGGCGATCTGAGCCCTATATATATATATATATATTTCCACACACACACACACACACGCATATACATATACATACATATATATATATATGTATACAATGTCTATATGCATATATACACATCTGGATTAAACGGTGTGTGTGTGTGTCAATGGTCATGTATTTTTGAGCTCTGACATCATACGTCAGGCCCCCTGCTGTCGGCCTGATGGTCCAAGGATGAAGGCCGACATGGGGGTTTCCGAAAATAG